AGTGTTAAAAAATTTGTTGGCCATTTAGGTCTTACCCAAATATAAGAGGGAGGGGTTGGCCAGTTAGCTCAATTGGTTAGAGCGTGGTGTTACAACACCGAGGTCAAGGGTTCGCAACCCCATATTGGCCAGCCACTAAAAAACAAAACAAAAAAACAAAACCAAATAGAAGTGGGGAGCAAGTTTCCCCCCAAAAGACCTGTCTTCCCTTAAGCTATAATATTACAGTCAAAGGAAAAACTACATCTCTGAAATATTTCCCCCACCAAATTTGAAGTGGAGTCCAAGAGCAAGAATTTGTACTCTTGTAAAATTATTTTGCCTGAGTCGAAAGAGAGAGACTGGGAGAGCGCAATCTTGCCTTACAAGGGTGAGGGACTTAAACCCAGTTGTCTGTCAGGCACTCTCAGAATTTCAGAATTTCCTGCCATAGAAAGGCTTTTAAAATGACTGATTTGGGTCAAGTGATGATCCAGAGGGCATGACTGTGCCCAGGATCGTAGGCAATGCCTGCTCTGTTCTCTCTGGGAAACAAATTTCTTCACCTGTCTGAAGGAGTGTATCAATCATTTTCTGTCTGGTTTCTCATTTAGAAGGGGCCAAAATCTTATCGCAGGCCCTGGAACTTGAAGTTCAGACATGGTGGGGAGTCTCTCCAAGGCACGGTCTAAGCGCATCTCTGCTGCTCTAAATGACAATATGAGAAAATATTGGATAAGAAAAAAATGTCCTAATGTCAATGGACTATTTTTTATTTTATTTTATTTATTTATTTTTTATTTATTTATTTATTTTATTTTTTTAAAGATGACCGGTAAGGGGATCTTAACCCTTGACTTGGTGTTGTCAGCACCATGCTCAGCCAGTGAGCGAACCGGCCATCCCTATGTGGGATCCGAACCCGGGGCCTTGGTGTTATCAGCACCGCACTCTCCCAAGTGAGCCACGGGCCGGCCCTTATTTTTTATTTTTATTGAATCAAAATTGATTATACATATTTGGGGGGGTTCAACGTTGAGATATGTTGATCAAATCAATGTTACTAGCATATGTATTGTTACAAATCATAATTATTCTTTATGCCCCTTGTGCAATCTCTCTCCATCCCCCTCTCCCTCCCTGCTCCCCCCTCTAATTACCCTAGATTTCTTCTCTCCTTCTGAAAGAATAATGGTTACTCTATTGATTTGTTCCCTAGACGATCTGTCCAATGCTGAGAGGTGTGAACTGGTCCCCCAACATTATCATAGAGCAGATGCTTCTTCTGTCACTCTGAAATGGGCTTTGTGGAGAAAGACATCCTCTTATTTTCTTTATCTCTCCTGGTGACTCTCCTTGTGTCAATGCACTGCAGTGGCTGGTGGACCATCTGCGAGGTGGTTGTGGCGTCTAGCTGCTTTCGCAGCAGCCATGGTTATTGTGGTGGCTGTGGTGGGCCACCCACATGGAGGTGATGTTTTAGGCATGCTCCTTGGCACTGGCACGGTGTGCCTGGTTGTGGGGGTGGGGGGTCTAGTCCCCTTCTTCATGCCTCACGTCCCCGGGCCTACGTGAGACACTGGCAGGTGTGTCTGAGCCAGAACTAATTTTTTTGTCCTTTGCATACTTCTAAAGTGGGGGAACTTCCTGTGGGAACCAGTACTTGAGCTGTGTGGTTGAGCTAAATTGCTGCTTTGCTGCTGTTTCCCTAGGGAAGGCTTTTTGTGCAGCTCAGGGTTCAATGGTTGACCTTATAGGTACTTCCGGCTCTCCAGAGACCCGGTGCACCTGGGTTGTGTAGAAACTCTGATCTGGGCCTGAGCTTTTCATCAAACTGCACCCCATGCAATTCTGTATTCCTGACCAGTCTCCTCTGCGTGCTCCTGCGCTGATTGGGGAGTGGATTAGCTGTCCTTGCTGTGTCCCAGTGTTCTCCCAGTCGGCCTGTCTCCACCACTGCCTGTGCTCCAAACACTTCCGGTGGGACAGGCCATGCACCAGTCCCCTGTGATGACTCACCGGCCTCTGAGTGGCTCTATTTTTTCAGTTGTTCTGGCTCCTCACTCTGCCATGAGTCCACAGGAACCCTATTAGTGGTCTTACTGTCCTGGGGGCCACCAAGGCCCTCTTCTCCCCTGCAGCCTCTAAGGAATTCCATTCGAAGGGCACAGCTGCAGCTTTTGCCGGATCCCGCTCCATGTTCTCAGCAGTTCCAGCCTTAAAGCAGTTGCCGCAGGAAATGGTCAGAGCAGTTTTTTCTTTCTCTCATCATGGTTTCTCCTGCCTTCATGCATTCCTGTAGGTCTCACCTCCTCTTCCCCTGAGCTCTAGCGGCCCCAGCTTGGCTGTTGTTGCTTTTTATATACTTGTAAATTGGTTGATTTCTGGGAGAGTGACGCTGGGGACCATCTATTCAACCATCTTGACCAGAAGCCTGTTGCATAATCGACGGACTATTTAAACAGGGAAATACCTGACTCACTTGGAATGTTCTAGATTGTCTCCTTTGGCTCAAAAGAACTTAATTTATTTTATGTAACTCAGGGATTTATCATAAAGATGCATCTGCTTAGGAATCTAGGAAATACCGAACAACCAAGCCTCATGGAGAAAAGGGACCCACACAGAAGTGGGTCTACAGCCAAAACCAGAATCCAACGAAGCTCTAAGAACCTGAGGAGGTGTTTGTGAGATTTTACTCTAGGGCTCCGTCAATAATGACTCTCAGCTATTCTCCAAGCAACTGTCTGTACCTCCCTGTGTCCACTTTGGGGCCAACTTCAATTGGCGTTCTTGCTCCTGTTGTATATAACTTTTCTTTGCTCCATGATGTGTATGTCCTTACAGCTCTTGCTTTTTCAGAATGTTGGACTGTCATGGCCCCTATGGTGGCTCATTACCACGCTCATTCAAGCTTCACCTCCCACTGCTAACTATGTCATTCTCTCAGTGTTTCTCAGTTCAAAGCCATGAAGAATTTGATTTTTGCCCCAGGACCTGTCATTGGACTCTAGCCAACGAATGTTTGGCAGTTCTTGGGTCAGTTGCCCAGCCCTGGTCTAATCAACTTACTGTAAAATGGGCTACCTAGGGGTGCTCTTTCAGTAGGAGCTGTGGGTCAGAGTCTTCCCTAGAAAGGGCTCTAGTGTGGCAGGTTATCTTGATCCACATGGCAAATGTATGGATGGATGGACAGACAGACAGACCAACTGACCAGAACGCTTTGTCCTTGGAGAAGTTAGGGGCGATTGACTGGGGGGGAGTGATTTAGTATGAGTTGAACAATTGAGCAAGAGAACTGCATTAACATGTTGCAATATTTGAATGAGATCTGACTACAATCCTTAGGAACCAAGTAATGGACAGTAATGCTAAGTCTCATTTTAGAAAAATTAGGAGATGAATTTCCCCCAAAATTCTTCTACACACTTCTGTTTCTTCATGTAGGGCCTAGTCTTCTCCAGACCTTCCATATTAGAATGTCACAGGGTTCTTCTTCCAAATGAGGCAATCACATAAAGTACTTGGAATGGAACCTAATTTGTAGCGAGCACTCAGCAAATGGGCTATTATTGTTATTATACTCTTCATTCGTTGAATATACTCATCATTCACTTATGGGCTACATTAGGCTGCATGTAACAGAATCCCAAATATGGAGGCTTAGCTAAATAGGGTAATCACTTCTGTTATATCCCTGAATGAACAGATCATAACATATCACATAATATCTTACTGCCCTCATGTAATAATTTTGAAGATAGGTAGGCCAGGGCTGGAATGGCATCCCACATGCCATTAAGCATCCAATCTCCTTCTATCTTTCCGTTCAGCCTTCCTTAACACGTGGATTTCGTCTTTATATTTGTCGCCACATAGGCAAATAGTCCTCATACTTGTCCCTTCTAACCACCCTAATCACATTCCAGATAGAAAGGAGGGGGCGACGAGGAGGAAGGGACAGTGCCTTTAGCACTGTTTCTCAGAAATGCCCAGGCAGTCTTCTGCTTATATCTCATTGGCCAGAACTGCCTCATGGCTACCTGGAGCTGCAAGAGAAGCCAGCCACACTGCTGCCCTAAACAAAATGTGGATGGCTTCCAAATGAGAGTGGCACCTGATAGCCAGCAAAGAAATGGGAACTCTCAGTCCTACAATGCAAGGATCTGAATTCTGCCAACAAACTCAATGAGCTTGGAAGCAGATTCTTCCCCCAGAGGCTCTACACGAGAGCACAGCCTGGCCCTCAGCTTGATTTCAGCTTTGTGAGACCCTAAGCAAAGAACTCGGTCCAGTCAAGCCTGCCTGGACTTCTGACCTACAGAACTGTGAGATAACAAATTGGTATGATATTAAGCTGCTTAAAAGTTTGTGGTAATTTGTTAAGCAGCAATAGAAAACTAATACAACTACCCCATACTAGAAAATGGTTTTTTGCAATGACCAAATCCTGCAATTTCAGCAGGCTTTTTACTAACTCCTTTGTAAAAATGTGTATACTCATTTACTATCATCCAAGCCTTCCCTTTTCTTTTTTTTTTTTTTTTGTCCTTTTTGAGACCGGCCACACTGCGCTCAGCCAGTGAGCGCTGTGAGCGCACCGGTCATCCCTATATAGGATCCGAACCCGCGGCGGGAGCGCTGCTGCGCTCCCAGCGCCGCACTCTCCGGAGTGCACCACGGGCTCGGCCCCCCTTTTCTGAATTTGTTTTATTGCTTTCCTTTTCAGTGTCCATGGAAACAACGTCCAGGAAAAAATTCCACCCAAAATTAGTTTTTACATTTGAAAACAAGATAAGTTAAGGTACTAAGAGAACACTTCTTTGGACAGTGTCCAGCTTATAATACTGCCCTTTTATAATAAACCCACAAAGATAAAGGGATAAACTCATCAGTGACCAAAAAGGTCCATACCCATGCCAATTTGTAACAACCAAAAATGTACAACAAAATCAGATATTGAAATTGTGTTTGAATTCTGAGAACTTACTGTCTCAACTTGGAAAACAATCAAATATGTACACTGAGTCAGAAAATTATTTTAATAGTTACAAAACTTTTTTTTTTTACAGAATCAGTATAAAATAGCAGTTGATTTCTCCATAATTATCAGAATTATTTATACTTGAGGTCTTGGCTAAGTGGGGCTGAAATCAACAAAAGTTCTTGGACTGTTGGCTCAGAAATCTTCCTAGGAAGCCCACCCTGTTGACGTCTGTCATGCTTAGCTCTTATGAGATGACCCGGTCCTTTTAATAAAAATATCTTTATTCATGCTTTGGAGGCTTGAAATGAATTCGGCAGCGCTCATTAAACACCTAAGACATTTAAACAGAAACAAAAGTCACTGAGTCATGCTGTATAAATCAGGCCTGCAACTAAATTTAATTTGGTGTGCTTCGGGAAGATATTATCATTTTTGTCCCAGGTCAACAGATTTAGGAAGTGGAGGAGTTTCCTCACCAGTTCAAACTGACTTACTAGGTACTAAGTGCACAAAAGGCCTTGATATTCATTCATAAGACAAATTCAATATTTTAATAAAATTTAAATTACTTGAGGAAAAATTATCAAGAGCCAGCTCTTTTTTTTTTAATTTAATTTTTCTTCTTCTCTAGTTAATTTAATAATTACCAAATATTTCAATTCCATGTTCTGGACATATTTTGGACAATTAGAGAAAAATATCTAAAATAAATTTAAAGGGCAGGAAGAAACATAAAATAAGCTTAAGATAAAGCCCTCTTTTTTCTTTTTTTTTTTTTTGTTCCTTTTTGAGACCGGCCGCATCGCACTCAGCCAGTGAGCGCTGTGAGCGCACCAGTCATCCCTACATAGGATCCGAACCCGTGGCAGGAGCGCTGCCGCGCTCCCAGCGCTGCACTCTCCCGAGTGCGCCACAGGCTCGGCCCTCTTTTTTCTTTTTTAAAGCTAATTTTGTTACTTAGATATTTGTTGTACTTTTGTAAATGTGTGCCAGATCATTCTCATAAGTAGGTACACTTGCCAGGTAGACCTGGCCTTTTTGCTAAATTGTATGAATTTATAATTTTTTGTTCTATTTACCTTGCTTCCTAAAAATCTAAACAAATAATATATTATAAATGCTAAAAGAATGCTCTATGACTAGATGTTTGTCAGTGTTAGACTGTTAAATAAAAATTTTGGTACAGCAATTCAATGGAAAACAATTCAAGCTTAAAAAGGAATAAGGAAGCTCTTTACTTACGAGGGTACTTCAAAAAGTTTATGAAAAGATTTGTATAAACTTACTTTTTGAAGTACCCTCATATGTTCGATTTGAAAAGATCTCCAAGATATACTAAAGGGGAAAAAAAACCAAAATGTGGACAGTGTGATTCTGGGTGAAAAACACATACATAATATTAGAAAAGGTGCAAATATCTGAAAACATAAGCCATCCTCTCAGAGGGTAGGGAAAGAAGGAAAGGAGGTGGCTGAAGGAGAGAGACGAGAGGCAGAATTTTTACTATATATCCTTTAATATTTAAAAATATTTTGAATCATGTGTCTAAATCATGTGTCCAATTAAAAAAAAAACTAAAATCTAAAAGAACTTCTTCTCAGAATTTACTCCCATACTTCATTGATGTAAGGAACAAATCATTTTTAAGGTAAAAAAAATAAATCTACACAGGGAGCTTCTATGGTACTGGTAGTATTCAATTTCTTAGGCTGAGTGTTTCTTAAATGAACATTCATGTAATGTTCATTTTATCGATATTCTTTAAATTCTACATGTTACATACTCTTTGGCATGTGTATCTCACACTTAAAAGAAAACATGTGAAAATTATATAGACTCTTTCTGGCTACTTCATTTTATAACTCATCTCACTTCAGTTCCCAGCCTTGACATTTCCCTGAAATTCCCAGTGCTCAGAGCAGTGGAAGCTTCAGATTAGTGGCCTTGATACACTGGCTGGAATAAAATAAAGTGGCTGAGCCTCTCCAAATCCTTTTCCTAAATGATTTCCTATCCACTTTTGCTAGCCCATTACACACCATGGCTACATTTTCTTCTTTTAAAAAGAAGTAGGGGCCTCACTTTCTGTGGAATGGATAGAGCATATTTTCTTTAAAACTAATATTAAATCCAAAAATGCTTCAATCTTCCTACTACATAAAATCTTTCAAGTAGCAAACACCTTATCACATTGGTGGAAAGGGCAGGAATAGGAAATCTTGGCAAAGAGGACAGGACAAAGAAATATGATAAAATAAAAATCAATTTGTATTTTGCGATTTATCCATGGCTCAGCAAATTGGTATACTCTAGTTTTTGAACTTCTCTCTTATAAGCATAGGGTTTAACACCATTCAATTAGTTAATTTCAAAGGATAAAACAGAATTTTCAGTTTATTCTTTCAGATTCAACAGATATTCTGCCCTTTGGAAATCTTTTAGATTAGAAATTTTAGAGAGAGGTAAACAGATATGCTTTTTCAGAAGATTAAAGTCAGAATTTTATTATTTCTAACTACATGTAAAGTCCTAGGATCTGGTCCCTCAATCCAGTTCCTAATGAGTTATGCTGGTGATAATAAGGAGCATGTGAATCTATGAGCAGTAAAAAGCTCTGTTATCAGATACCAGTACAGCTATGTACAATAAATTCATGATCTGATATGTTTGAAGACAAGCAACTGTAAAGGGTGGCTAATGATATGAAAATTTATGGAAAGTAACTGAGCTCAAAAAGGCTAATTTTAATAAATAACTTCCTTGAAGATTCTGAGATAAGTAGAGTAATAACCGTAAATACCAAATATGCCCATAATTTGTATTAGGAGACACATGGAATGTCTTCAATTCTGTTACCATGGCAGGTGATACAATTCTACCATATGCCAGTAAAGCTAATTTTTATAAGATAGATCTACTTATATGCTACCACCCCTCTACCCTCCACCACCACCACCAAAAAAAGAAAAGTTAAAATCCTCACTGCTTGTAAATGAATGATCTCTATTCTTCTTGGAGCTCAAAGCACTCTACTGCTCCTCCCTTGGTTTCCCTTTACTAGTTCAGTTTCCTCCCTACTTCTCTCCAAAAACAACATTATTTTATACCTTCCAGCTCCTGTCATTTACCACTTCTTCAACATTCAGTTCTGACTGCATCCATTTCAACTGCAAGAAAGGAGAAAACATTGAAGTTATGAAACTTAAAGAGCTAAAACCAAACTCTACTAAGTTTACCCAACAAAACCAGCTGCTGCTCTTGTATTCTTTATCTGTTAATGGTAGATTCGAAACCTTCTTCAACACAACCCACTCTTCCCATATCTAATCAATTATTAAATCTTATAAAATAGTGGTTCTCAAACTTTGCTGCATATCATAAATCGCCCCCAGCTTTAAAAAAAATCTCAATGTCCAGGCAGTTCACAGAAGACATACAAATAGCCAATAAACACATAATATACACACACATATATATGCTCAATTTTAGTTATGTATAAAGATATGCAAATTAAGTCATTATATGACAAGACGAAAAAAATGAAAAAGTCTGATAAAACCTAATATGAGTGAGGGTGTGGGAAAAGATACACTCAAACACATTTTTAGTAGGAATATAAATTGTTGCAACTTCTATGGAGGGTAATTCTGCATGACTTTTCACATGTCCTCGAACCAATTCCAGTCCTAGAAATTGATTACACAACTATAGACTTGGAAAGATAGCACAGAGGAGTAAAAAGAAGGACAAGGAGGAAGCAATTTGATTTGGGCAGAGTTAAGAAAAAAGAATCAGAAAGTAAAGCTGAGAGGAAGGGAATATACTAGGCCCAAGTGATCTAGAAAGGAATGAGTTTCCCACACCTTGAATAGCCAGCCAGAAGTCTGAGGCTAAAAATCCCAAGTTTTTTAACTTTCTTTAAAACTGCCAACCTAATTACCCCACCACAAGGGTAGCCAATTCCATTGCCAGGCCCAAATGGCAGGACCCTTAATACTCCTAGTCACATCTGGTCAGAGGGACTTGAAAGGAAAAGAAGCTATCTAGTTCCAAGAAGAGGGCTCGAAAATATTCAGGAAAAAGCATGAACTAAAGGTTGAGGTAGCCAAAAGGTTAAAGCCAGGACGATTTCCTCAGGCCAAGATAAAAAACCCAGGCCAGATTTGGGAACGAAATGCCAGAGCTAGACAGGATCTGGGCAACCACAAGTCTGACACTCAGGCCAAAGATCCTGACAATTAGGAGTATAGCTCAAGCAGATGGTTTGAGAAATATGCATGTAACTAGTAAGAATAGAACTTAGGACTGACCCAGTGGCTCCCCATAAACTAGACTCAGAACTGGTTTCGAAGTGTGTGGAAATACACATGGCTGGAACTGTGCAATGAGGGAAAAGACTGCATTTTGACAATTGGTCCTGTGCTGTGGAGTAATAACAAGTCTGAAGTGGCCCTCCAAAGCAACCTCAGATTCAGATGTTAATCAGCCATACAGACCAAAAATCATTAAAGCTTCACTACTCTGTTAAAGCCTGAACTGACTGCAAAAGAAATAACTTCAGTTGAAGAACAGAGAGTGACATGTCACTAAATTTTCATAACTGCTCTCAAATCTTTAAAGGGATATCATGTAGAATAGGGTTTAGACTTATCCTGCATAGCTCCAGAGGGAAGATTAAGGAGCAGTACTTACACACTACAGGGGAGCAGACTTTCACAATATACAGTCATGTGCCACATAACAATGTTTTTGTCAATGACAGACAGCATATATGACAGTGGTGTCATAAGATTATAACGGAGCTGAAAATTCCTATCATCTAGTGACACTGTAGCCATTTTAACATCAGAGTGCACTTACTTTATTATTTTTATTGATTATTGTAGCCTAAGTGTACAGTGTTTATAAAGTCTATGGTAGTATACAGTAATGTCCTAGGCCTTCACATTCACTCACCACTCATTCACTGATTCACCGAGAGCAACTTTCTGTCCTGCAAGCTCCATTCATGGTAAGCGCCCTATCCAAGTGTACCATTTTTTATCTTTTATACCATACTTTTACTGTACCTTTTCTATGTCTAGATATGCTTATATATACAAACACTTACCACTGTGTTACTATTGCCTACCGTATTCAGTACAGTAACACACTGTACAGGTTTCTAGCCTAGGAGCAATAGGACATACCACGCAGCCTAGGTGTGCAGTGGGATATACCATCTAGGTTTGCATAAGTACACTCTATGATGTTCCTACAACGACATCACCCAATGATGCATTTCTCATAACATACCTTTCATTAAGCAAAGCATGACCATATGAGAAAATCTTTGAACAATTACAACTGTCCAGAAAGAGAATGTACCAACACAGAAGACAGTGAATCCTCTCCCCCACAACACCCAGCCTTTAAGTAGTAGTTAAACAAAGATGGAAACCACTGGTTGGTGATATGATATTCAAGATTCATGCAACAAACATGGAGTCCCACAGACTCAGAAAGGAAAGGAACTGAGAGACTTTGTATCAGCCAATATGCTAGCTCTTACATAGACTATATAATTTAAGCCTCACCAAAAAAGAAAATATAAGAAATTATTAAGTATCAACCCCATTTTAAAGACTGAAAATCAGAACTTTCAGAGCAATTCATTTAAAAGTTTACAAAGCCACCAAGGTAGATGTAATTTATTTCCTTAGAGCTATCTGCCTTTATAATCCATCTTTTTTTTCTATTCTTGAACACTGCAGATATTACAGACAACTTTTAATACAATTTCGTCAGTGCCACCAACAAACTGTCACCTCTGAGATGGTTGTTTTTGAGGCTCTGAGTTTTAAATAGGTAAACTTCCTCTCAAAGGCCACTAATAGGTGACAGTAGTTAGAGAGTTCCAGCAAGGAAGGTACTTTTTCTGAGTTAAGAGTTCAGGTAAAGAACTGGTGATTTTTAAACTGGCATCTCTGTATATAAATAAAATATGCTCATTTAAGTAATCAGAATGGGACTATTAAACACAACTTAATATAAAGAAAGTGACTGAATCCAGAGGTGAAGGAGATGGGTTAAAGTCCCAGTTCTACAACTCATTAGCCTATAACTTTGAGGACGTCAGTATCTCAGAGTCTCAGTTTCCTCAGAAAGAAAATGAAGAGGTAGAGCTGGAACATTCCTAAGAGCTCTCCCTTTATGACTCCACAATCTTCATAGCAAACTTGAAAAAAAAATTCACGTTTCCTTATTTGCTTACATACTACTCATGGTTACTCTCTAGCTCTCTATATAAGCAAACCTTAATTAACTCACTGACTAGGTTTCTAAACTCCTTGCAGTGGTCATCCTGGTGATTCTCTCTGGGCCCTCCAGGCATAGAGACAAATCTGAGGGCTGAGCAAACTGCGTGACACAAGCACTCCCAAGCACTCCGTAGTTTAGAGTTTTGAACTTTGCTCTCCACTGGCAAGAGTCACTCTATTCTGTCTGACTTAACTTGAAAACAGTGATTTTTCAGTTTGTGATTTAACAGTCCTGCCCTGCAGTTTCCCTTGTCAATACCTTCAAAAGTCTGTTGAATCTTCTGTTGTTGTTGCTTTTGGGTTTTTTTGGTGGCTGGCTGGTATGGGGATCTGAACTCATAACCTTAGGGTTATAGGGTTGCACTCCAACCAGCTGAGCTAACTGGCCAGCCCTCAGAGTCTGTTGAAATACAAAATCCAAAATTACCTAGACTTTAATCACTTTTACATAAATTATCTGTAAGCCTTCATGAATGTAAAGGGTAGGGTGAGATGAACAATAGAGCATAAAATCACTGTCTGAGGAAACCACCACTGCCTGATGAACGAGCAGGTATGCAATTCAGACTGAAAGCAGTAGGCAGTACAAAGTGAGCAGCAAAGGCAGTGGCTGAATCTTGTATCCAGTGAGACATACTGAATCAGTGGAATGACTGAGAAAGAGCACCAGCCTCACTTACTTTCCTGTGTGCAGCTACAAGGAATAGGGTTCTCTTTTCCACTAAAGACTTGAGAGAGATGACAAGGTCCCCTTTTCAAAGGATAACTACATCTACTAAGCAAAGGGCAAACTTCACAACTGTTTGGGATGAGAAGCATCCCACACAGGATTCTCAGTCACCTGACTTGCAAAGATCTGTAAGTCAACTATTGTGCCATCTTAAAATATGGACATGATTTTGACAACTGTACAGTGGTTATGTAAGAAAAATCCCCTGTTCTGAAGAAATAGCTAACGTATTTAAAGGTAAAGGGGTACAATGTGCCCAACACACTCTCAAAATGGTTCAGAAAAAAATGTTTATGTGTGTGGGTATGTGGGGAGAGAGAAAGAGAGAGGAAAGCAGGGAAGGATAAAGGGAAGAAGGAGGGAGGGTGAAGAGAATGAGTTGTAAAGCAGGTGAGGCAAAATGTAAACAATAAACGAATACAGGTAAAGGGTACATGGGAGTTCCTTGTACTGTTCTTGCAACTTTTTGGTAAGCTTGAGTTATATAAAATAAAGAATTACCCCCTAAGAATCCCCTCAAAAAAAGACAGCAATGCATTCCACATAATAAAATATATTGAATATTTCAACTGTTTTCTTGACATGTCACATACAAATGCTATAAAGAAACAGTTCTGCTGCATTAACTATATTTTGAGGTACACACCCCATCTACATTATGGTTAACTTGGGGAAATAAGGCTTCCTCTGACACATCCCCAGATGGGCACTTGCTGTTTTTTTAAAAGTGAAAACACTACAGGGATGGGAGATGAGGTGGAAAAAAATGTGTCCAAAAAAAGCCAAGACCCATAGCAACTTTTACACAGTAGGGGAATAAGTTATAATGAGGTACTAGTATATCTGGTTATGTTTAAATAGTACTATATTTTTGTGGCTGAAGAGGATAATATCCTGAAGTTAAATAATCTGTATTACATTCCAGCAGATTCGTACAAAATGAAGGCAAAAGTAAATTTTTTCAAAATATGAATATATTTAGAGATGTTTCTTCTCAAGTTAAGCCTCGTAAAGTAGATACAGGTGATTTCCCTAGAATTTCTGATTGGTGCTGGTCTATATCAATTCTTTAACAGTGAGAAACAAAGAAAGAAATGGAAATAAAATCTGATTACATGCTTATTTTAGCTAAAGCTGTTGTACTGCACCTGTTTATGAAATGCATATTAATTTATCAATTAATATCTAAATGTAATAAAATAAAGCCCACTAAAACTGAAGCACTAATTTCCCAGTCAATTTTTTTAAAGTAATAATCATATCTTACTCTGAATTTCTCATATTAAAAATGTCTTTATTTTATTTAATTTGGGGGAGGGGGGCGGTCTGGCCAGTACAGGGATCCGAACCCTTTACCTTATCAGCACCATGCTCTAACCAACTGAGCTAACTGGCCAGCCTAAAACTGCCTTTATTTTTAAAGGCTACATTTGAAAAAACTTTGCCTGAGAAATGTAAATTCTGTTCAACTTACCTTTGTCTGCTCTTTTCTAAGTTGCTTTAATAACGTTAAATCGTCCAAATTCTTTTCTCTCTCTTCTCGGAGGTGTTTAACTACTGCTGAGGTCTGGGCTATACAATTTTTTATGACTCTGTCCCTACTGGCATGAGCTGACATCAACTAAAAGAAAAAAGGAATTAGAAGGGGGGAAAAATAACATCAATTTATCACATTTTAGTGTTTTTTAAAAAATCCTTATTTTGAGACTACAGAAATTTAATGCTATCTAAAACAATTTCTAAAAATTGACTCTGTGAAAGAGAAGATTGTGTTGAATCAGCTAAATCACCTAAGAACAGATAAAGGGAAGCACATCTGAGGGTGGAAGGTACAAGGGCTGGGTTATCTTCTTCCTCAATAAGTTCCCAGTATTTCCTACTCCTGTCTTCCTGCATTCCCCCTACTGGGCTTCTCATTTCAGTTTCCTTTATCCTATGTCCCTGTCTTTCCCCACCATTTCATCCATGTGAATATTGCTATTCTTCCTCTCTTTTTTTGTCCTTTCATATTTTTTTCAGTCTCATCTTTTCAACAAATGAAAGAAATTATAAATTAAGCAATGTAGAGATCTTAGTTACAATAAAGACAGACAAAAAAACCAATATATTCCCTTTTCAAAATTTTAAAGTGAAAATACTGATAAGGAAAACTTGTGTATGAAGCACAGTTAGTTGTTTCATCAGTTGTGTGTATTGACCTCAAGTAAGGATGTCTGACAAAACAACTCTTTAATAACCTCCATCTTAACGTCACAATCTATTCTCTGTATTGATTCGCAAAGTATGATAGTCCTATTTCAAACACACTCCGATGAACACAGGCAAATTTTGATGACACCCCAGAAATTTGTATTTGTAAAGCACTGTTTCAAGACTTTTTATTGTTCAGTATTGAAATTTAAGTTTATCTTGGGAATAAACAATGTAAAGCTAGAAAAACTTCATAGACTGAAGGAAGTATGTTCTAATAAGGGGATCTCACTAAAATGTTTTGAGTATACATTTGAGATTTGGAATTTCTAAAACTAGTGATTCATAATAACTTCACTGATCATCTCCTATGAAGAAGTGTTATTACTAGAGAATGCAAATATTCCTTTTTCAGCTACAGAAGGAAGCTGGGTCAGGGACAAAGTGAGTCAGAGTGACTATGAGCAACTTGGATGTTTCAGAGTTCTTCTTGACTAAGACAATATTTAAGAGAACTCAGTGGTACTTATTGGCATGGGCATTCACTCTGCTGCAGGCCTGATCCCTGGCTCAAAGCCACTTGATAAACTACCCTTTACAAAGTGACATGTATGTTGCTGGATCCCTCTGGGATACAGACACAGACAAAGAAAAACCCAAACACATACACAAGGACATCTAAAACAGAAAGGTCCAAATTTTGTATGCAAGGTTATCCTGGTTCGTCACAAGAAGAAAAATTATAATAGCAGCAGCACCGAACATAAGAGTAACCACTTTATATTAACTCACTTAACCTTCTCACGACCCTGTGAACTAGATACTATGATTATACTACTTTACAAATATGGAAAGTGAGGCAGAGATTATGTAATATGTTCAAGGTCACCCAGCTAAGAAGTATGAGAGGTGGGATTTAATCTAGATCTGGAATTCATGTTGTTTATCATTACACTTTAGTGGCCATAAATTTCTAGTTTTTAGACAGAGATACCCAAAGAAAGAAGTGAACTGTCTCATAGTAAATTAGGACTTGAACATACTACCTACCCCCAATACTGGATTCTACTCATTAAAGTCCACAACCTTGGGCTGGCCCATGGCTCACTCGGGAGAGTGTGGTGCTGATAACACCAAAGCCATGGGTTCGGATCCCACATAGGAATGGCCGGTTAGCTTACTGGGTGAGCATGGTGCTGACAACACCAAGTCAAGGGTTAAGATCCCCTTACCAGTCATCTTTTTTAAAAAAACAAAAAATAAAAATAAAGTCCACAACCTTGCAATTTTCTCAAGCCACAAGACTTACCTGATCATTCAATAAAATAACATACTTTAACATAAAAGCAGAACAAAAATATCAGTAGTTAATGCTCTGAATTTAATTGATATGAATTAAGCTTGTCAAAAATGTTATTTTTCATATTCAAGAAATGCACTTTAAGGTTTTAAGTAATGACTTCTTTGTATGACTATGCATTCACATGGTAACCTTGTGGTAGAGCTTAAAATATTGAATGTCATTTGAACTTGAAAGATATAAGTAAATAAACTATAAAAAATATTTAGCTGCATTATCACTTCCTTCTGCTTTTGGAAATTAAAAAGAGAAATAAATGGAGGCAATAAAAAAATATATACTTGAGAAACCAAAGCCTCAGGAAAGGACAATTTACCTTTGGCTTTTCTTCTCTCCTAACTGTCAAATGCTTCTATTCTCCTTCCTGATGAGTGAGGGAAAAAAGAAGACATAAAAGGTGTGAAGAGTTTTAATTCTTCCTTATACCAGCTGTCTGGCTTCTTAGGATCATTCAAAGTCCTTGCTCTCATTACAGTTTTACTTTGCTATTTCATTCTCCCCTTTCATTGGTGTCCTGAAGTCAAAGGCTGCAAATTAAGAGGCCACAAAAGTACTGCTCCCATTCTTTAGAACCATGTCTTCACAGATTTGTGTATAAGATTACATATTTTCTTTAGTTTAAGGAAACCAGATTGAAACTTACATACACCCTCAGGTGTGGGCAAGGAAACATGAGGATGATATTCTTTTATTCAGAGTTTAGTTATATGTAAATTGATTTATTATTTTGCCTGCAAAGAAAGGCATAAAAAAAGCATGTAAGAGAGACTCAAAAGATACACTTACAGACTCATAAAGCTGTTTACAGGTTTGGCTGGCATCAATTTTCCCTGCAAAGGAAGCTGTTGGAACCGTAGTGTTTAATTCATGTACTATTCTGTCATCAATTGTCCTCATCACCTTGAGCAATTCCTATATACATTTAAAATAAAAGAATATAACCTGAATGGAAAGTTAAGTGATAAATAATAAGTATTTAATCAAACAATAAAGCTCTTGGATATTTTACAACCTTTTAAGTTAGGAGTAGGGAAACCAAGTAAATATAATGCAACCATAAGAAAATCTTTATTACAAGATTAAGTAATAGTAATTCTAACAGTGAACACCAACTGTCTCCTTGACTCGACTGTGACCCTCTTAAGGATTAAGATTGTTCTACTCATGTTTAATCCCATTTGCTGGCACGGTGCTTAGCAAACAGTGTGCTCTTTCCATCTCTAACATACAGGCAACAGAGGGGTCTACTGAACTTGATCACCACAGATTCTCCACAACAATCCAGCATAATTGCTTGTTCTATTCCCTCTTTACCTATCATTGTATAATGTGATGCTAGGTAGGAAACTTTGGAAAGATATACAAGAAACTTGCAGAAACTAATCTATACCCTCTTAGGCTTTTAGATTTTTACTACAATCATGTATTATTTTTGTAATAAAAATAAGTAAACAAAACATGCTGCTAGAGAAATCAAACCTCTTCATGGCTTTCCTATTCATAGAACAAATGAAAAGAAATGAAGAAAAGAAAAAAAAAAAGAAAAGGAATGAAGGAATTGTTTTCAGTTATGGATTTAAATTTGGCAAGGAAAGAAGTAGGATGGTATGCTGAGAGTATCAAGCAAAGTTGCTTTTAATACATATTAATATTGAATGTTAACCTGGGTGTTTTCAATAATAAGTATATTCCCTAATGTAATATAATTGTTTTCTTGGTGTTTTTTTTTCTTTTTTGTTTTGTTTTTTCTTTTTGTAAATTTGAGAAAAAAGGAAGAGAAGGGTATCCTGCTAGAAACTTTTTCCAGGGTTTATGTTAACTGAATACAGAATGTAACTGATGCCCAGCCTTTCTCTAGTGACAAGTGAAAAGAAGTGCCCTGATCAAAATGTGGGGAGAAGAGACTGTGCTGTGTAGATAATACTTTTCAGTCTACGTTCCCTACCATTCTGGTATTATTTTTCTTTTTCTTTTTTTTTTTTTTTGAGAGTCGGGGGCATTTTGAGGGGGAAAGGATCCTTGCGAGATGTGAGCTAGGGTTACTAAGAAAAGGTAAAACCAATTCAAAAAAAATACCTCAAAGACATTTTTAAGAGTTTCATAAATATTCTATCCTGTGAAAATACCACAACTTAAGTGACCACTTCCCAATTAAGAAACATTTAGGTTGCTTCCAATTATAGTAACCATTTAGTCCAGTCAATCTAAATCAGTAGTCTAGATTCTGTTCTATCACTCCATTAATCTTTAACTAGTGAATTTAATGGCCTTTTCTAGATCTCAGTCTGGAAGTAAAACAGCTTGTAGAAAGCCCATAATTAAGACTAACAAAATACAGACACAGGTCAGGTCTAAAACCAAGTTTATTATCTTATCTCCTCTTCCTGCCTGTTTTTCTCTTTGTCAGTAGTATTCTGTGTAAACTAAATTCTTAGGGGACAATCTCAAGATCTTCATTGGGCAACCACCATTTTAAATAATGTACTGTATACAATGGAGGATAATGTCCTTAAGTGGTAAATTCAAAACAAATGGTGGTAGCACTATTCAGGGAGCCAAAGAGACAGCTAAGTAGAAAACAGGAACCCACCTTGCTAACTTCACTTCCTACAACTTGCCTACTTTAAAAAAAAATTAAATTAAATAAAGCCTCCTTTAAAATCTCTCTTTTTCTTTTGGGCAGCTGGCCAGTAAGGGGATCCGAACCCTTGACCTTGGTGTTTTAACACCACACTCTAACCAACTGAGCTAACCTGCCAGTCCTAAAATCTTTCAAAACTTTCTTTTCCACTATCTAAACTGAACTGAACTGATCTTCTAGACCAAGGTTTAAGCTGTACCTTTTGGATAAAGTTTTCCTTGGCTATGAAAGCCCTCAGCAATCGTTCTTTAAATAATGCAGCATTTAGAGAGAGTACCACAGAGTTCATTCATTTATTAACTCACTCTTCATTCAAAAAAAATTACTAATGTCTAGTATATGTCAGGCACCATTCTACGTACCGGGGTAGAGGGGTGAAAAAAAACTGAAAAGGTTCTTGCTCTTATGAAGCAAAATTCCTGAAGGGGAAGACAGACAACAAACAAGTACCCCCATACATAAGATAATTTCAGATACTGAAAAGAACTGTGAAAAAGAAAACAAACTAAGGAAATGGGATGAAGAATGACCAAGTGGGGCTTGAGGCTAATTTAGGTAGGGAGATTGTTAGAAAAGTAGGAAAAGTTTAGTCATGATCTTTCACCTTGCATCTGTTATAAATGGGCAAGATTCAGCACATTCGTTAGAAACAAGTTATAAAAGTAGTGTAACTGTGTATGTGTGCCCACTGACTGATTCAGCATGATTATTGTGATTATGTAATGCTTGGCTTGTGGCCGCTATTGTGTACCAAGAATATGAAAGAAACAACTGCTCTGAACTGCTGGTTGGCAGAGCTCATGTCTGAGAATAAAGCATGTCTGTGAGGCTCACCTCTGGAGAATAAAGCATGTCTTTGAGGCTCAACTCTGGAGAATAAAGTACGTCTACCTTGCACAAAGCTGCCAGAATCTTCTTTCGATTACCTTACTCATGACCTGCATAGGAAGGAGCAGAAGGATCTGAGATTCCTGCTCAACAGAGGTCAAGAAAGGACTCTCTGCGGACGTAACATTTGAACTGAAACCTGAATGATGTGAATGAAACAACTATAAGAACACATGGAGGAGTAAGTCAAAAATTATGAGGCAAGAACAAACTTTGGAATGTTTGAAGAATTAAAAGAAGGCAAGTGGGCAGGGAGTGAACAAGGGAGAGAGTGGTATGCAGTGAGGTTGCAGTAGACCAGAACATGTTGGACAATATAGACCATGCAAACGATTAAGGGTTCTGTTCTGATGGAAAAGGATTTTAGGCAAGGAAATAACATTGATTTTTCAAAAGATAACTTTGGCTGCTGTTTGGAGAATGGATTATAGAAAGAGAAGAATGGAAACAGTGTGAACATTCAGGAGACTACTATGGTGGTCTAGTCAAAAGATAAAGATGACTTGATAAAGTGGTAGCAGTAGAATTAAGGAGAGGTAGTTACATTCAGGATATATTTTGAAGATAGAGCTGACAGGACTTGCTGATGAATTAGTGGTGAGGTCAGAAAAGATAATTGGATAACTTTTAGTTCTGAGGCCCAAGCAACTGAATGTCTGGTAGTACCATTAATTGATAGGGGTGGAGGGAGACTGGGGAAGGAAAAGATTTGGAAGGAGTGGGAAGATCAGTAGTTCTATTCTGACTCACAGGATATTTGTGATGATATTAAGGATTATTGTTAATTTACGTGATACTGCCATTATATTAAAAATTGTAATCTTTTAGAGATACAGACAAATATTTCCTTTTGAAAAAAAGATATGATGTCTGGGATGTGCTTCAAAATAATCTGGTTAGGGTGGGGCAGGTGGCAGTAGTATTGTATACAGACAAAACAAGAGTTTCTATTGACTGTTGCAGTTTGAGAATTGGTACCGAGGCTTCATGATACTATCTCTCCTTTTGTGTATATTTGAAATTTTGTAGAATAAAGTTTGGTTTATTGGGTTTTTTTTAAAGTTCTGTTTTGGACTTGTTAAGTTTCAGTTGCCAATTAGATACCTGAGTAGAAAAGTGAAGTAGAAAGTTGAATACACCACTCTGACACTGATCAGGGCTAGAGTTATATTAATGAATTGATGTTATTTACAGCCAAGAGACTAGAAGAGATCACTGAGGCGGATGGCAGAAAATGAAAGGGCCAATGATCAAAAAGGAACTCTAGCACCTAAAAGTAGAGGGAAAAGTCTGTGATTCCACAAAAGCCAGAAGAAGAAAGGTTTAAAGGAAGGAATGGTCAATTGTGTTGAATGTTCCTAAGTCAAAAATTACATGGACAGAAATTAACTTTTAGACTTAGCAGGACGGAAATCACAGGTGACCTTAATGAGGGCCATCTAAATAGAGTGTTTAACGGGTTGAAAATTAATGTGGCTTAAGTACAGCAAGTAAGAGAAAACATGGGGTATGATGAGATCCACCATTATAGGTCATGTTATAGTTTAGTCTTTCCTGAGAACCACAGGGAACCAATGAAGTGTTTTAATTATGGTGGGATTACATGATCAGATGTGTTCTGAAATGACTGCTTAAAGTGTGGAAAATGAATTAGAGAAGAACAAAAGTAAATGTAAAAAGATCAGATAGGAGAGTGATTCAGCAACCCAGATGAAAGATAGGTAGTTTGACATTTCGTAAGGTTTTTATTGACTCTGAACTTTAACCAGTTTTGAGTTTGAACACTGGCTATACCTTAATCACTATAGCCAAACTCCCCTCCAATAAAACAATTTAGACACACTATTAAGTTCCTTACACAGCAATGGGAATTTATCTGCATTAACTAGGTAATAAATCAATCAATTTTACAGTCTTACAACAAAACCTACAAATATGGATTATCAAAATATATTAATTTTTCTGTGTACTAGAGAATAATTAATATATGATCTAGAGCTTGGCTTTCAATATGGCACACACTAGCCACATGAGGGTACTTAAAATTAAATACAATTTAAAATTTAGTTAGTTGAACTAGCCACATTTCAAGTGCGTAAGCACCACATGTCACTAGTGGCTACTATATGTAGATAGCACAAATGTAGAACATTTCCACCATCAAAGATAGTTCTAATCAACAGTGCTATATTCTAGAATACATCATGACAATCTCTACACTGATAATGTACTTGTTCAGGGATCGCTGAGAACTGTAAGCTATTCTTAAATGTCACAGAAAAGATATCAGAAAATATAAAGAGAAGGGAAAAAGGGAGATAAGATGTAGGACGGGATTTCTTCCAAAACTGGAAAGGGAGAAGGAAAAGAACAATAAACCACC